TGAAATATGGAATGATATGATATATGTACTAAATCCCAATTAATAAAAGGAAAGAAAGGATCATTAAAAAGGAAAAATCAAAATGGATATCAGAAGAGATAAGAAACTTGGTCTTGATGCAATTGATGGCCTGCTCCACAGTCAGCCCCTTGCCTTGTTTCAGCTGATGGCATTGAGGCTTTCCATTACCTCTTCTCACAGATACAGTCAATCTGATTCCTGTGCGTTCTATTAGACAAACTGCCCATGCACATTCATCATTTACGTTTTTGAAAAACAGATCGTTTTCATAAAATTCCATCATGCAATCTCCAACTTTGCAACCGCGGTCTTATTTTCCAACTACTGCTCCTTCCTCGTTGTTTGTGACTTTTGAATTCCAATCACCAACAACTGATTATCAAGGCACCTTGATTGCATGTGTGATCAATTGCAGAACTGAAGAAGTTGGTAGAATTCTTCAATTTCTTCAACACTAGCTTTAGTGATTGGTGTATAGATTTGAATAAGTTGTATTGATTGGATTTCCTTGTAAATAATCCTATCACACAGAGAGCATTGACTTCATGAAAGATCTTGAAATGTCCTTCTTGGAAATGAATGCAATACTATTCCTCTTGAAATTATTATTCCTGGTATAGTAAATCATATGATTGTCTGACTCAAAATGGTCAATGACAGTCCATTTCACCCTACTAATGTGTGGGATATCAATATCTGTATGTTTCACTTCATTTTTGAAAACTCCTAATTGTCCTTGATTTATATTTCATACATTCGACTTTCTGGTTATTGATGGATGTCTGCAACTGCTTCTTCTTGTTTTGAGTGGAGCCCCACCAGCAATGAAGTTCCTGAAAGCTTTACTCCATCCAAGTCACTAAGGTTGACTCTACTTTGTGAAGACAGCTCTTCTCCACTGGTATTGTGAGCAGCTCTCACCCTGTGAGTTAGTTAATTGTGCCAGCCTGGCCGATAATCACATGTGGGGCTGGTTGAAAGGCAGAGGGATAAATGGGTGGTGAGCCCTCGCCTTTCTAGTTCTCGGGTCTCTTGTTTTGTGATGGTTGCA